GGCAAGTTCTCTTAATGATTTATTAATTAGAATTATTGATTTCTAGTCGGCTGTGCAAGCTTAATTTAAATGTTGGTTGAATATTGATGATGTTTAGTACCGGGTCTGATTTAAATAGAAAAATAAAAGCAATGCAATATATATATGAGATAGTATTAAATGCAATATATGAGAAAGTATTAAAATTATGAATGAAATATAAGCTAGGTCATAAATCAATCTTGAATTTATATTTTATACAATACTATTAGAACTCCTTATTAATACTATCAAGACAAATATTTTTTGGATTTTCTGGTAAAGTATTTTTTTTTTATTTATTGACCTTAGATCAACATTTTGCCATTTACATAATATGTACAAATAGTTTTCACTTATATGTTAACTTCACATTCCAACAAACCCAATTTACTTACATGGGAAATGCAATTAGATTTCTGAAAGATTGATATCAAATCAATATGTTTAATAAACGACTCGATGGAGTAAAGTTCCTTCAATTTCTCTAGAATTAGGTATTCAGTTGATCCACAATTCCACAATTTCACTATTGGGACATTCTTCCCATTTTTTTTCTGCATATATAGGGGTGTAACCCCTATCTATCTCAAACTGTTAAACAAACGGTTAAATCTCAACTGCTTTTGAAACAGTTTTTCATCTTCATGTTTAACTACAAATTTTTGAAAATATCATCTGTAAATAGTACCATCTTTTAAAAATTATTTTTTACTTGATTTTATCAATATTTGTGTATCGTATTTCACATTATCCATGATCAAATATTTTCCGATAGCATATGCGATGACTACAATTTGATTGAAATAATAATCGTTAATGCATTGTTTTTTTAAATAATTATTACGATATAAGTTTATCATAAATGCACGCAATTTTCATTCACGCGATATTATGGGGTCTGTTTTTGCAATGTACATGGAACTCTTGGGTAGTGTTGGTTTGATATTGAGGTCAACCAGGCTGGTAGTCTATCCACCTACATAGACCCATACTACTTGGACTACGATTCTAATGATCAAATTTCACATATTTGTGGTTAGTGCAAAGATACTTAAATATGTAAAGTAGATCCCCACCTAATTGTTCTAGACAGCAGGTGTGTATGTTATATAAAGCTATTTTAAGAATATGTTTATGTTGATCTTTGTTGTGGAACTCAATACATTTTATTACGTGGAGCTAATAAATAGAGCTTTATCATTTTTAGGCAAGCATAATTTGAATATATTATTTTTTTTAAATAAAGCGTGAATTATTTTCGTACAATTTATCCTTATCCAATTCAATTATTGGCCTTTGCCATAGTATTTAGACACTCACATCATTTTACATATATATTGTTTCTTTTTTGTATACTAATATCTTATAATTTATAATTTTTCAAGTTTATATCATTTTTATATTTGCAGAAAGTAGGTACTCGATCGGGATTCGATCCAAGTACGTGTGCATAAAGTTTTATAGAAAAATATTTGTTTGAGATATCACAGGAATTTATTTGAACTGCCATCAATTATTTTTAATTTATATTTATAGTCTGAAATTTTGATCTTTTATGCAAAGCATTTCATGTAGTTGAGTTATAAATTTATAAAAATTTTCCAATTTTTAGAGTCTTAATTGATGAAGACACATTATATAAGGGATGTCTAAATAATTTGAATATTCTCATGAATTCATAAAGGCATTTAATTGTTTTAAAAGCTAATTTTAAGAAGTTGTAAAAGCTAATAGATTTATATAATTATAATTTTGTGAATTCTTTAGTAATATATTACTACGTACAATTGAATTTATACTGAATGTTGATCAGTAATGAAAACTTAGCAATGCAATGCACATAATTTATATAGGATTTTCCTATAGATTTTTAATGATTGCAAATGCCATAGTACAAAGTACTTACCTATGTAACTATACTATGGTTACGATATAATGACAACCACATATGATTTAATTACATAAAGAGAACAGTACTGTAGTAATTTATTATAAGCCTTAATTAGGCTATCTTCTGAAAACTGAAATCGCACGCATTATATTCTTGTGTTTTGAATACACAATATTGTCCACAAGTTATCAGTGATACTGATTAATTTATTTTTAAAACTAAAAGTATCTGCACTTTTCTGATATCTTGTAACTTTTTAAGTAACAGAATATCTGCTAGTGAAAACTAACAAGGAGAACCTCAAGTTTACTCTTCTGGGATTTTGATGAAACTTTGCATGGTGATAGAGTTTATGTAGTCACACCGAACATCTTAAAATATTATATGTCTATGAGAAGTAGTTTAATTATAAAAATTAATTAAAGTTGTAAAAAATAAACCGTTCAGAATACTCGATAGCTGTATCAGTTTTACTCGCTCCTTAGGGGGCGTCCATTAATCACGTGAGCGAGTTTTTAAGGATTTTTTGACTCCTCTTCCCCCTTAGTAATACATGGTAATATTCAACATTACCCCCCCTCTCACCCACCAAACAGCACGTGTAATTTTAGTTACGAGAAAATGCTGTAAAATTTTTGAATTTTTTTTGAAAATGTTTGAACTTTTAAAAAAAAAATTAGTTAAAAAATAAATACACGTGATATCTTTCTATACCTCTCTCTCGCCCACGTGATATTTTGTGATCTTTTGTCAAACTCCCTCTCCTCCTAAAAATTTCACGTGATTAATGAACGCCCCCCTACCTTTTGCATTTAGATTCATAAATAAAAGAGTTAAAAATGATCGGGTAAAAATCCTGTCAGCTTATAATTAATTTTTCATTTTTTAAACTTATTTTTATGTTTGAATACTTAAATACGAAATTCACAAGGAAATTGATAAAATTGTTTACTCCTAGATAGTGGCCTTATGACCAATGTCTAATTTAAATTTCTATTAAAATGCAATTGTAAAATTTGCTTACTTGCATTATTAAATAAGCATAGCCAAGGCAAATCCTGGTGGATATATTTCAAACAGAATCATTCTTTTATCTTTGTTGCTGCAATAAAAACGGATATTCGTGTCTGATAAACTTTCACACAGTTTACAGATACGACTGTATCAAATATCAATGTTTTTTCTTTATAATGACATGCAATCATTGTAGTTTGCGATTGCAGTGTTTAAATTCTTAGAGAATAACAGACAGCATTTTTTAGGTTGATTATCAAGAGGTTTTACAGTCATTCTTTGTAATTGATATTGGCTGTTGAAGGCGATGGCGTTTTTTGTTTAAAAATTTCTGTCATTGTAATCCATTCTTGCACCATCAGTAATCAGTATACTTTGATATGCAGATTTAAAACAATGTTATTTGAAGTGGTGATTGAATTTTTTTCTCAATTTTGATAAGGATTGCATAATATTTTGTCACATATATTGTATTAAAACTTGTTTAATTTAAATAAATTTTAAAATTCAAAACCTAATTATAAATTGCATTATAAAGGCGAATTTTTGTACAAAATTTATAATAAAAGTTTCACTCAGTAAATAGTGTATCTAAATCCTATTTTTTTTATTTTACATTATTGCAGAAATTGCATTTTTAGGTTATAAACCGGACATGATATGTGCTTCATAGTTTTTTATTACAAACATATAATTTTCCTTTTTACTGATATTTAGTTCTATTATGACTTTTTATGATAATGAGTTTGATTAGATAAAATACGACAAAAAATTAAGTTCATTCATAAATTGGTTTAATATATTTTGGATCCAAAATATATAGTAATTATTAATCAGTAATGAGGTCAATGAATTATGAGATTATTTCAAAAGTAAATAAGATTAAATAAAAAAAAATGCAGAAAATATGTTTTCCTTGACTCAAGTGTTTTTAAATTGTGATTCTAAAATGAGTGATTATTTATAGTAAAAATTAAGTGAAGTTTGTGTATTGAGTAAATTCATTATTTTGGTGACACAGTTTAGATGGATGGATATCAGGTGATTAAATGAAGTAAGAATACTGCTATTTTTCCCTATTTGCAAAGAAATGATAGTAGTGACCTAATTGAATCGTATAATAATAAGATTTTCATAAACACAGATATTTGGTAATTGATTTTTTAAATTATTTTCCATTTTTTAGAGCAGAACAACTAAAACGAAACCATGTGGTTAGAAATAATTTAATATTTATATATTATTTAATCATTAACTTTGATTAAATTTATCAATTTTTATGCAATTTATAGAATTATGTTCTTCTTAAATAAAAACTACTTACATTTTTACTGCAGAATAGTAAACAAACATTGTTCTGCTTGGATAGTCTATGTGGCAGAATATTATTTTTCACTCCAATTTATATTACATTGACTTTAAGATATAATTTACTAATAATACGTTTTCGACATAAAGAGGTTGTTGATTAATTGATATTTCTATCGATAATATAGAGTAAATTGATTGTGCCTACTTACGATCATATCTGATGTATTTTAACAACATCCAGTAGTTGATAATTTTATTCATTCAATTAATATTAATCTAATCTTGTTTTTATTTATTACATTATTATAACTAAACGGTCGAACTTCTGATAGCCTTCTTTTTTATAAAAAAAATATTTTGACAAAAATCAATAAGTTTCGGGCACATGAGATGTTCTTGTTTGCTCAAGTTTTTATTAATTACTCTATTAAAATATAAATGCCAGAAATTAAACACGAATAAGCGTATTCTGTATTTTTAACACAATTATTAAATCATATTGCAACATTAAACATTTGACTAAATATTGGTATTGTGCACTGAACCGTATTGATAAATTTAACCACCTGTCTACAATGATCACTAACTTTGAGATGTGCAATCATAAAAATTTGATGTAAAGATAAGAATATGATACACACATATGTCGTCATCGGCTATCATTATCTCTCATGATATCTAATCTGCAATTTTATTTCCAGATGTTCCGATTCGGGCGAATGTTCCTAAGTTTACCTACGATAGTCTAAAGTTCGGGCGCATTTTCAGTCGCTTCGCACATGTCTTTGGTTTTGGCGAAATCGTCGGAGTTCGGCAACTGATCCCACGTGGCCATGGCTTCGCAGGCGGTGTACTGTCTCAGCCTGCAGATACGTGAGTAGAATCGTTCTATTTTATATGATTGTCAGAAAGGATACTGATGAGGAGGAAAATAGTTGAAAGAAAAATTATACCGTAAAGGGCAAAGGCAAGGGAAATTTTGTCATATAACATGATGATTTGTCATCAACGATATCATGTTGTATGATAAATTTTCATAATCTTTGCACTTTACGATATAATTTTTCTTTAAACTATTTCTCCTCCATATATTACTGTGATAACAGAAAAAAGCGATGAAGCACAACAACTTGAAATTTTGTTGCATCAAACAATATTTGTGTATAGAAACATCGTCTGTCATAAACTTTTGTACACAATTTTTTTTGTACATTCAAACACGTCGAGTGACCAGGATCTAAGCCTGATTTCTTGATTACCATGTGGTTTTGTGTTTGTTTTCGAAATGTAAACATTTCTGTTCATCAAATATTACACCAGATTACAAAAATATTTTAACTATTGATTGAAAAAAGGACCCAGCGGTGGCGTAATTAGCTCGGACGTGGGCTATTACAAAGGTACTAGCCCACTCTATCAATTTACTTTATATTATTGATAATAATTAATCGACAACCTCTTTACGTCGTAAAGGTATTATTAGTAAATTATATCTTAAAGTTAAAACAATATAAAAAACGGAGTAAAAAGTAATATTCTGCCACATTGACAATATCCAACAGAGCATTTATTGTTTACTATTCTGCAATGAAAATGTAAGTAGTTTTTATTTAGGTTTTTGTGTTCTTCTATAAATTGCATAAAAATTGATAAATTGAATAGATAAAGTAATATAAAAGTATTAAATTATTTCTGGTTTTGTTTCAGTTATTCTGTACTAAAAATAGCGGATGTATTTTTTTTTAAATATATTAGAAGATACGTGTATATGTGTTTATATAAATATCATTATTAAACGATTAAACTAAGTCACTACTATCATTTCTTTACCAATAGAAAAAATAGCAAATTCTTAAATCACCTGACATCCATCCATCT